GAATCACCTTGCCAATATCCTTAAAATAACTTGCTGAAATTTTGATTGGGATTGTGTTATAATATTACCACAAACATAAAAATCTGTACATTTAACTTTTAGTATAAAGTTTTTATTAATGGTCACGAAACACTAATGATTTTATGAAAACAAAACTGTGACTCAGGTTACATAAGAAATGAAGAAGAAAAGTCTCCCCACCCCACACACGTACACACACACACAGATACAAACATCTGCACTTGCTAGTCTCACCTATGAATCATGAACTTTTAGATTAGCACAAAATCACACATCTTAGTAATCAAGAAGTTCTGTTGGGAGTGGGAAGAATAAAGTTATTTGTAAGTATATGGGTGTAGCCATAGAATTTAGAGAAATTCCTTTAAAACTGCAGTAAATAATTATGCAACAATGATTTTTATGCTTGTGGGTTTAATATCAGGTTCTGGAACTGTATGTGAATTCAGTTTAAGTGGGTAAAGAAGGTTATCTCTTCAAGATTCTTTTCTCTAGTTTATACCTTTTTTTTATCTATCTTATTGATTTTATTGGCAACACTTAAAGAACAAGGTTAAATAATATTGGAGACAGTGAACTTTCATTTCTCATGCCTTTGAAACCACTGGACTCATTTTTGCCTTCGCCCATATCTCTAATGGTTCATGTCTTCATATTTACCTGCCTGTCTGGGCTCTGATTGGCCACGTAAGATCTCACTTCATTAACACATGGCTACTAGCATTCTAGTGTGTTCATGCCACAGCAGCTTTGCACTCTTTGTGTTGCTTTCACTACCAGAGTTTTCTGTTAGAAATTCATGAATGTTAAAATTTATACAGAAGTACAAATTTATAAACTTAATGTGGGGAATTATGGCCAGTAATTCCCCCTTCATCTCTTATTTTTTCTCACCCTTCTTACACATTTGCCCCTGGATTTGTATCTTTAGTCTTAGAAAGTGATTTTACCTCCCATTCTAAGATTTATTTTTTTATGTGGAAACTGCGTCATCTTCTCAGTATCTGAAATCTCAAATTCTGAGATTAAAATCTTCATTATCTTTCTGTCCTGTGTTCCCGCTCCCTCCTATCTTCATAGTCTCCTTTTATTTTCTGAAAATAATCCCAGTTGTATATTTGTTTTCTGTTCCATCTTTGCCTCTTTCTGTCTCTAAGATTTCTCTGTTATATTCATTTTTTCCCCAGAAAACTTCATTTGTTTCTCCCAGTAGGATTTTATGTCACTTTTAACTTGTTGTCAGATGGTTTAGCAACAAATACATAGATGCAAAGCAAATGTGTCAGTATTTTAACAGTTAGTAAATATAGGTGAAGGGTATATTATTGTTCATTGTAGTATTCTTTTGATACTTCTATTTGAAGAAATGTCTCAAGATAAAGAGGTTGGAAACTATTAATATGATAGTAAGTCATTTTTATTAATATTTACTATATATTATGTATTAGTCCAAGCACATATATTAACATATATTACCTCATTTAAGTCTTTTTTTTTTTTTTTTGAGACGGAGTCTCGCTCTGTCGCCCAGGCTGGAGTGCAGTGGCCGGATCTCAGCTCACTGCAAGCTCCGCCTCCCGGGTTCACGCCATTCTCCTGCCTCAGCCTCCCGAGTAGCTGGGACTACAGGCGCCCACCACCTCGCCCGGCTAGTTTTTTGTATTTTTTTAGTAGAGACGGGGTTTCACCGTGTCAGTCAGGATGGTCTCGATCTCCTGACCTCGTGATCCGCCCGTCTCGGCCTCCCAAAGTGCTGGGATTACAGGCTTGAGCCACCGCGCCCAGCCCTCATTTAAGTCTTATAATAACCTAAGGAGACAAGTATTGTTATTATGCCCATTTTATAGTTTAGGAAATGAAGCATAGAGGGATTTGGTAACTTGCCCTGTGTATTGTGTAGCTAGTAAGTAGCAGCTGAATTTGGACTCAAATGATCTATGCAGATAATATTAAAATGAATAAGATATGGCTCTGTTTTCAAAGGACTTACAATCCAATTGGAGTTGAAAAGTGTATAGGTTTCTTTAGTTGATGCTGTGAAACAAATTAAGGATCATAAAATGATAGTTTTATCTAGTTGAGGGGATCAGGAAGGGCTTCTGAAGAAAGTAGCATTTCAGTACTAGGAAAAAATAACAGGATTAATTTTGAATCTTATGGTGGAGGTGTTTGAAATGGAACCTAAGGCATATAAACTTTGTTCAATGAGCAGTAGAGAACATTGAGAGTTAAAGAAACTATGGCCCAAAGATAATAAATATTTTCAGTAGCTAATTACTGTCAGATATGATTTAAACTGAAATCTGAGGTGAGAACTGGCTATTGTGGCTGTTCTAGATGTCAGTTCTTGGTGTCAATGAACAAGACTACTTTACTCTTCCTTAAAACATTTTAAATTTTTTAATTCCATGCATTTAGATCACATTTATGTCAATGTATGTCCATATTCCATACCTGATTCTCATGGTATAGCCTGCAGACCAGTCTCCTTCAGTATATTCCCTTTCTAATCTCTCTCTCTCACTTGGCAAAATAAGAAGTACCTTTTAATTTTATTATTAACTATTCAGATTATAATTCTAAAGCAGTGCTTTTGTCATGTGACAGCTACAGAATTTTAGAATCTTGGAGATATAAGCTTTAAAAAAAATTCTAGTGGTTAAAATACGTGGTTCTTACGCATTCAGTGCAAAAATACAAAAACAAAAAAAAACCTAAAAAACCAAAAACTCAGATGCAAAGGAAAAGAGTACACAGTTCATTCCATCATGGAGTTTATAATTTGGGCTGAATTGCAAACAAAGTATATTGTAATAAATACTATAATGGGACACAGTACAGGTCTCTATAAAACCATCTATGGAAGTACCAAGTCCTGCCTTAGGGGATTTAAGGAAATGTTCTCTGAAGTAGTGTCAGCTAATTTAAGATGAAGAGGAATTATCTAGATCAAGTGCGCACAGTGGAGGGCAGAATGGAGAGACTGGCAAAGACTGCTCAGAGGCTGTGGGTTTGGAGGTGAGATTGTAGCATGCTTTGGGAATCTCAGGTAATTAGGTAGGAATTAAGAAGTCACTCTGAGAGAGGCAGGTGTGGTGAGGGAAGAAGTTGAAGAATAAATAGGATCCAGGCTGTCTGTGGCATCATAAGATCAACAGTTTGAAAATTTCTAAAAATCTTTTTCTTGGGTTAAAAGAAAGTCGGGCCTGAAGTACTTAATGAGAAGTAGTTTCAGAGAAAAATAATCTGGTAAAACTCTACTGAATATTTGAGAATTCAGAGATTTGGGAATATTTGTTAAAAGCTAGAAAATTTGGTAGAAACCATATTTCTGTGTTTCCAATATGGTTGAAATTTAATGCATTGGAATTTTTGCACATTTAATGCATTATGAATTTAACTCTAATCTTCATTTTAAAATAGCCATTATATTGGAGATAATATTTTTTCAGTGTCTTATATATTGAAATTTTGCTAGAAGTTCAAGACCAGCCTGAGCAACCCCTGTCTCTACTTACTCTGTGTGTGTGTGTGTGTGTGTATATATATATTTGCGATACAGCAAGTGCGATTTCACATATATTAGAAGTTCTCGGCTGGGCATAGTGGCTCACGCCTGTCATCCCAGCACTTTGGCAGGCCAAAGCAGGTGGATCACCTGAGATCAGGAGTTCAAGACCAGCCTGGTCAACATGGTGAAACCCCGTCTCTACAAAAATACAAAAATTAGCCAGGCATGATGGCAGGTGCCTTTAATCCCAGCTACTTGGGAGGTTGAGGCAGGAGAATTGCTTGAACGCTGGAGACAGAGGTTACAATGAGCCAAGATTGTACCATTTCACTCCAGCCTGGGTGACTGAGCGAGACTCCATCTCAAAAAAAAAAAAAAGGTTCTTGTCACAATTTAAGAACCAACTGGAATTAAAGTAGCCATTTTATATTACTGTAACTATGACTTCTGGTTAAAATACTTTGGTTAAAATATTTTGCTTTTTACTCCCATGAAACACATTACTTTTTTTTCCTTATTTGGCATGTATGTTATTGTATGAAACTGAAGGGAAATGTAAAAAATTTTAGAGTAGATTTTTTTTTTTTTTTTTGAGACAGAGTCTAGCTCTGTCGCCCAGGCTGGAGTGTAGTAGTGCGATCTCGGCTCACTGCAACCTGCACCTCCTGGGTTCAAGGCATTCTCCTGCATTAGCCTCCCAAGTAACTAGGATTACAGGCGCGTGCCACCACACTTGGCTAATTTTTTGTATTTTTAGTAGAGACGAGGTTTCACCGTGTTAGCCAGGATGGTCTCGATCTCCTGACCTCGTGATCCGCCCATCTCGGCCTCCCAAAGTGCTGGGATTACAGGCTTGAGCCACCGCGCCCGGCCGAGAGTAGATTTTTTTAATGCACTGTAAGATTAGGAAATACGCTGCATATATAAAACTTTTACAAAAGCTTAAATAACCTTTATTGGAAAACATGCTTTATTAGTAATATAAAAACAAAAAATTCATGTTAACTGCCTGTTGGGACTTTCAAGAAATGGGAGTCCAAGGATGTATACATATTGAGAGTTAATGTTGGTAGCGTTGTTATGGGGCTAAAAAAGGTGTGCAATTTAAGAGATTAAACAAAGTTAAAAACTGATGAACAACAGTCATTGCAGAAAAGGAAGAATAAGTTTAATTTTTTCAGATAAAGTCTTTCCAGAGGATTTTGTTTCTATCCCAGTTCCTAAAGAAGGTTTATTCTTCCAGTATGTAAAATACACACAGGATGGGGGATACAGAAGATAATTGTTTTAATAAACTAGAGCTGATTGCACCTTTTGTGGAAACGTATCAGTGACTGAGGTGAGTGCAAGTCAGAGGCTTGGTGATAATGGTAAGTGATTTGTAATAATCACTGCAATAATTTCATTATCCTTATTTCTTTCTGAGATTGTATTGTGTATCTTTTCCCTCCACCTTCTTCCCTTCCAGAGGCTCTCCCTATAGAGAATCTCCTTTGGGTCATTTTGAAAGCTATGGAGGAATGCCCTTTTTCCAGGCTCAGAAGATGTTTGTTGATGTACCAGAAAATACAGTGATACTGGATGAGATGACCCTTCGGCACATGGTTCAGGATTGCACTGCTGTAAAAACTCAGTTACTCAAACTGAAACGTCTCCTGCATCAGGTGAGTACATAATGAACATTTCCAGCTCTGATATTTTGAATTGCAAAATGGATTGACTTTAGTTTTTTTTTTAAAAAATAGTTACTTGGGTTCCTAATGTTTTTTTAGGTTTCTGTAGAATAATGCTTGTAAATAGTATATAATAGAAAGTTTTGTGGAAAAAAACCTGTGGGATATTGCATGAGGGTCTCATTACACAGTCCCTGGTATTCACGAGTTGTATGATATTTGGTAAGGCAATCTCTGCTTCTGTTTCTTTATTTTCATAATAACTACATTGTAAGATTGTTGAGAGATTTAGAAATAGTAGTTGTAAATTGGCTAATCCAATGCCTGAAACAGAGTAGTTATTCAGTATTCAGGGGCTGCTACTATGATTTGAACTAAGTGACAAATAAGAAACAACAATTTTTGCTTTACATAATAGTAGTCATATAATTCAGTTTTTGTTGGGATCTTCACGTTTAATCTTCTCTCTCTCTTTTTTTTTTCTTTTCTGAGGAAATCTAGACTCATAGCAGTGCTGTCACTTGGTCACTTGTCCAAAGTTCACTTGTCCAAAGTCACAGGATAACGATGTCGGATCCTGGCATCTGATTCAGTAGCATTTAGTTTGTTTAAGCATTTAGCACTTACAGACAAGGTCAGATGCAAAGCAGAAAATCAAGGAATAAAATACTAATTTTAAGTCATAGATACCTTTCATTTGGTTTTGAATCTGTATTAGTACTTTGTACAATAGCCAACTTTAGCTTAAAACTACAGTTAAGAAAGAACAGCCTGACTTCTCTCTGCTGCTCAGTTTGCTTTCTGTCTTAGAATTCCTGGTGGCCATCAAAACAAAACATGCGGTATGTGGACATGAAAGGCTAGTTGAAGTGAAATTTGGCTCCTGTGTTAGAAATGATGGTTAATGTAAATATTCTATTAAAGTCAGGTAAATTGTTTTCTGTTACTCAGGGATTTTCTGTACTACTCCTCTCCATTCTTGTGGATATTTGACTACTGTTTTGAAAAGAAACTTTTCGGTACTAAAGAACAAAAGAGTAGAGAATCCTTTTTGGATATGGGATTGTTCAACTTCTCTTGAGGCAGAAATAAATTATATGATTGAATTATCCAGACATTGAGCTCACAGCCTAGTTTAACTGTAACTAGAAAATAGACATTGGTATATAGTGTTTTTCTGCTGGCTGGTCTGGGGAGATGATTTTTTGGTTAGGAGTTTTAGTGTCTAAGGGGAGAGGTGGTAGGGAATGGTGGGAAATAGGTAAAATATGTCAAATATCCACTGTGAGCCAGTCATTGTACTAGCTATACCATGTACCATCTTTTGTGTTTGGGTGTTTTGTCCTGAATCATGAAGCATGACTAAATATCAGCTAATAAGACCAGGCCACCTCTAATAATGAAAGAAGTAGCATAATTCAAGTAGTAGTAGGTGAATTGGTAACCAATGATTGGTACTATAAAAATAAAAAAGTGTTTTTTGAGGTTCTTTGTGTAAAGTTGTAAATGGTTCTTTTCTGTCATTATGGCCTCTGAAATCTTAGGTACTACACGCGGATAAAATTGACCCTATTTTTTGTTATGTGATGACAACAAAATTATGAGAAGAAAATTGTAAAATCTTTTTAGGTCATCTTTAAAGTTTCCCAAATGCTAATAGAAGTTTAAAGATGACTGAGTTCAAAATTTCGTGTCATTGCCTCTTTAAATTTGTTTCTAATGTGACTGAATTAAAAAAATCAATGTGATACGTATATATACTTTTCAAAAAAAAATTCATACACTATTCAAAGGCTTAATGAAAAAACAGTATGTCTGGCCCCCTCCCCACCTCAGTCAACTTGTTCTCATCTGAACAGGTTACTGTCCAAAGCTTCTCTAGAGCTGTCATGCAGGGACTTACTTTTTCCATAATCTGGGACTGGATCCATTCTTTCTATAGCCATGTCTTCTTTCTTCCTAGTTTATTCTCTCACTTTGCTGGTATATATCTTTAATTTACTTCCTAAGAGAGGATTAATGAATGGCATATTGTTTTGGTTACTTCATTACTGAAAATCTCTTTATTCTGGTCTCACATATGATTGATATTAATAAGTTTCATTGGTGTGAAATAGTTTTGTTACAATAGAAGAGAGTTTTCCGTTAGAAATTTGAGGGGATTGCTTTTCTAGGATCTTATTTAGCCATTGAATGGTCTACTACATTCTGATCCATTGTACGTTGTGTTTTGCTTGTTTTTATCTCTGGAATACTTTTAATCTTTTATTTCTAGCATTCTGCAGTTTCACAGTGATGTCCTTAGATTTGAGTTTTGTTGTAGTTGGTTGGTTGTTTTCCACTTAATGTTTTGGCAGTTATTAGGCTCTTTGGAGATTAATGTAGTGTGAAATTTTCTTGTTATTTTTATGATTATTCTCTTTCCTTTATTTTCTCTGTTATCTTTCTAGAATCTTTAGTAATCAGAAACTAGAATTTCTGAATTGAATCTCCTCACCTTTTTATTTTTTCTTATACATTTTTCTTTTTCTTTGGGTTTGGTTATGTTTCCTGGTGTATTTTCTCAACTTGATATTCCAGCTCTCTATTTTATTTAACTGTTTATCTTGGCAATCATATTTTCAATTTCCAAGAACTTTCGTATATGCTGTTCCTTATTCATATCATTCAACTGTTTTTTCAGAAACTATGGTAAGTAGAGAGTTTCTGTTTGTTCTGTTTCATTTTGTTGAGAATTCTTTGATTCCCTGTATTCTTTCTCTTTTTAAATGGTCATTTTGTTCTTTATGCTTATTTTGATTTCTCTTTCTTTTGGAATATTTCTTCAAATTTATAATGATTCTTTGTTGTTTATTCAGGACTTTGTACATGGGCCAGGCTTGTCAACTGGCTGGTTTTACTTTATGCATTCTATGGATATCAGTGGACCCTCAGCATCTACCGAGTGAAGGGTTTTTCCTTCTGAGGTGGTTGTAATTTATCCAAAGAAGAAACCTGATTTTATGTTGGGAATAAAGTAGAATACTGGGAAAATGTTCATTTCTTACACAGACTTTAAATTCATTCCCACATTTTTAACCGTAAGGGGTCATAAATGTATGTTTTTCTCTATCTGGCAAAATGGGTGATAAAAGAATGAGAAGAAGATAAATTCAGAAGGTTGGACATTCAGTAGGAAAAGCAGTGAGATCTCTTTGGCTTCTCATTGTCCTAAAAAGATGGTGGGGGAAGGTGATGGTGCTACATTAAAAGAAATGTAAAGAACAAGTAGATACAGTGTGAAATTGTGAATTGTATATTGATTTGGACAGATCAGCTATAAAGGACTTTTTGGATTAGTTGGGAAAATTTGAATATGGTCTGTATATTAGATGAGATGGAAATTTACTAAAATGGAAAGGGGAGATTGTTGACTGAAAAAAGTAGGTTATAAGGCTATATGTACGTTATGATCATTTATCTATCTATATTTACATCTGTATGTTTCTCCAGAGGGGTATGCTCTAAGGTGTTACTAGTGATGATTCCTGGATGGTGAGAATGTAATTTCTTTTTTGTGTGTTTTTTAAAAATCTGTGTTTTCTCATTTCTAATTCTCCACACATTATTGTTTCTGGGGGGAAAAAAAGGGTTTTTTAAAAGGTATGTGTCTTACCAGTGATCAGTTAATTAACTGAATATGTTAAAAATATAGGATGCTCACGCTACGTGACTCCAAACTATACTACAAGGCTACAGTAACCAAAACAGCGTGGTACTGGTACCAAAACAGATATATAAACAAATGGAACAGAACAGAAATAATGCCACACATTTACATTTACACGTATTTACAACCATCTGACCTTTGACAAACCTAACGAAAACAAGAAATGAGGAAAGAATTCCCTATTTAATAAATGGAGTTGGGAAAACTGGCTAGCCATAGGCAGAAAACTGAAACGGGACCCCTTCCTTACACCTTACACAAAAATTAACTCAAGATGGATTAAAGACTTAATTATAAGACCTAAAACCATAAAACTCTAGAAGAAAACCTAGGAAATACCATTCAGGACATAGATGTGGGCAAAGACTTCATGACTCAAACACCAAAAGCGATGGCAGCAAAAGCCAAAATTGACAAATGGGATCCAATTAAAGAGCTTCTGCACAGCAAGAGAAACTACCATCAGAGTGAACAGGCAACCTACAGAAGGGGAGAAAATTTTTGCAATCTATCCATCTGACAAAGGTCTAATATCCAGAATCTACAAGGAATTTAAACAGATTTACAATAAAAAAAAATCAAAAAGTGTGCAAAGGATATGAACAGACACTTCTCAAAAGAAGACAATTATGCAGCCAAAAAACATTTGAAAAAAACTTCATCATCACTGGTCATTAGAGAAATGCAAATTAAAACCACAATGAGATACCATCTCATGGCAGTTAAAATGGCGATCATTAAAAAGTCAGGAAACAACAGACGCTGGAGAGGATGTGGAGAAATAGGAACATTTTTACACTGTTTGTGGGAGTGTAAATTAGTTCAACCATTGTGGAAGACAGTGTGACGATTCCTCAAGGATCTAGAACCAGAAATACCATTTGACCCAGCAATCCCATTACTGGTTATATACCCAAAGGATTATTAATCATTTTGCTATAGAGACACATGCACACATGTTTATTGCAGCACTGTTCACAATAGCAAAGACTTGGAACCAACCCAAATGCCCATCAATGATAGACTGGATGAAGAAAATGTGGCACATATACACCATGGAATACTATGCAGCCACAGAAAAGGATGAGTTCATGTCCTTTGCAGGGACATGGATGAAGCTGGAAACCATCATTCTTAGCAAGCTGATACAGGAACAGAAAACCAAACACTGCATGTTCTTACTCATAAGCGGGAGTTGAAAAATGAGAACACATGGACACAGGGAGGGGAACATCACACAGCAGGGCCTGTCAGTGGTGGGGTGGGTAGGGGAGGATAGCGT